TGGAATAGGCTGCCCAGAGAGGTGGTGCTCTCACCTTCCCTGGAAATCTTCAAGAGGAGACTGGATAGGCACCTGGCTGGGGTCTTATGACCCCTGCCACCCCCAGTGCTCCTTCCTGCCCTTGGCAGGGGGTTGGACTCGATGATCTGTCTAGGTCCCTTCCCACTCAGTGATTCTATGATTCTATGATAAAAGGTACAGATTAATGTCAGGCTTAACCTCTGCCAAACTTGCAGACTCTGGACTCTCAAGCTCATAGAGGCTCCAACTCATCAGTCATCATTAATTAATATTAATTCATTATATTAATATAGTGCCTAAAGGTTTCAGTCAGGATTGGAGCCTGATTTTGCTGGATGCTGTACAAAGATGAAAGGACCAGCCTACAGTCTATGGACACTATGCTGGATGCTCACATGCTTTGCTGGCTGGGACACATGAAGTGCATGCCTGAAGGTTATCTACTGAAGGCTGTGCTCTATGGCCAACTCAAGAACTGCCCTTGATGTAGAGGAAGGCCAAAGCTTTGATACAGTGACATGGTCAAGCAAGGTCTCAAGAGATTCAGCATTCCCACGGTCAACTGGGAGAACCCTGCCCACAACAGCTGAGTCTGGAGAAGCCAGGTCAGGGCTGGTACAGTCACCATAGAGAGCCATCAGAGAGCCCAGGCTGAGGCCTGCGGGTGAGCCAGGAAGCAGAGTGTGCTTCAATCTCCATCTGATGAGTGGATCTGTAGCCACTGTGGGAAGGTTTGCCACTTGTGCATTGGGCCCTTCTCCCACACCACTGCCAAGCACCACTGACTGACTTTGTTGCATTTTCTTTCATCTGTCAAGATGTTGGATGGCCATATATACAAAGATGAAAGCACAGTTCCTGCCACATATTCCAAAAGACACTAAAACAGACACAGTGTGGGGCTAAGGAGTATAGATAGATAGGAACAATCATGGAAAAGGCAGATGACTGGTATAGACTTGTTAGTTGTTTAGTTAGGGACTGAAAGTAATATAGGGGAGGGGGGGCAGGGGGAGTTAGGAAGATTAAGGGGGTAAGGAAAGGAAGATAGAGGAGGGGCTTCTCATCTAGCTGGGCAAAACTGACATGGCTTTATAGGCACTGAAGCAGTTGATGTGGCTTTGTAGGAACCGAAGCATGGGCAAGGTTTAAAGAGGAAGGATAAAGTTATGGCTTTATGTATTTGGGGAGGGCAGTGTAAACTTGACAAAGATGGGGCCATGGTACACTGATACTACTCCCTGTCATGCTGTCTTGTTTCTAAATGCTCCCTTCTCTTTCTCATCATAGAGTTTAAGCAATTTGGGGCAAGCAATTTGTTTTGTGTTTCTACAGCCCAAGCACACAATGGGGTCCTGGTCATGGACTAGGCTTTCTAAAGGCTGTGGTGATACAATTACTAATAAATAATAGTACAAGGAAGCACAGGCATGCTTAAGAGAGAAGCTAGGTGGGCAGTAATGGTAAAATAGTGCAGGTTAGAATTGTGATATGAGAGCTAAGAGGCTAAAGACTACAATGGAATTAAGCTTCCGTGACCTGGGAGTCCAGAGTCTATACAAGAGGGCTAAATTGTGAAGAGATGTAAATACCTTGACTTTAGCATGAGATTCTCATTAAGAAGCTAAGGAAATACAGATGACAGGAGTACTGCCAGGTGGATACAAAACCAGCTGGATCATTGTGCTCAATGTTTAGTTGGGAGGAGGTATCAAGTGGAGTTGCCCAGGTGTCTGTCCTGGCCTCTGGTATTGCTTAGTATCTTCATTAATTATTTGGATGATAGGATTGAGTGCATGTTTAGCAAATTTATGGATGACATGAAGTTGGGTGGAATTGCAGACTCTCTGGTGGGTACAGCTAAAATCCAGAATAATTTGGATAATCTGGTGAAATGGTCTGCAATCAGTCAGATAAGATTCAACACTCCTATGCAGACTCACATCAATGGATGAGAGAGGGTCATTATCATTTCAAATGAGACCAGCAAAGCACTGCACACACACCTGCTGCTCTGTACATGTAGATCTTACTAAAAAAACAATGATGTCTTTATGGAAGAATGATCTAGGTCCTCACATGGTATCAATTAGCCTAGTTTCATCAGCTGAAGTGGAGCTACCCAGAATTTTCCTAGCTTGGGATCTGACCCAAGCTCTCTTCAGGATATAAGGGCCACATGTCTCAAAGCTGGAGGTGCTTGCACCTGGGCACTCAATGTCATGGTTAGGTACCTAAATGAAAGAGGAATGTTTGTTCAGAAATTACTTCAATCTACAGTTGCAGGTACTTGGCACTTCCGAGAACCAATCCACAGATATCTAAATGCATTACACTAATGGCAATCTCCAGCATTAGTGTTTTCATGCTGATAAACAGTATTTGACATCTTATTATTCAGATCTGCAATTCCTAGATCAGAAAGGACAATCACAATCATATAGTCTGACCTTCTGTATACCGCAAACCATTGCATTTCTCCTTGGGGTTCCTGCATCATACCCCATAACTTGTAGTTGAATTAAAGCATATCATTTGGGAAGGCACCTGGTCAAGATTTAGAGATTCCAAGAGATGGCAAAACCACTGCATTTCTTGGAGCCACTGGTTATACTTACCTTCTTTACCTTACCTACCTTGTCTGAGTCTTAGTACCAATGTCTTTTTATTTCAGTCCTTAAATCAGGAAGAGATGTGGATGACTTGTGTCAGCATAACTTTTCAGCTATATGAAATTTCTGTTCCGTGAAACTTGCACCCATAGGTGACTGGTAGGGGGTGTACGGGAGTGCACATGCACCCCTGATGGCTGACATCGATACTTTCGGGAGGGCTGGTGCTCCCCCTGATAGGGCTGCCACCGTCAGTGGCTTCTGTGGATGCCCCCCCAGATTCAGGAGGCACCAGTCACTCATGCTTGCGCCTGTTTCTCCGAATGAGAGATTCTATCTATAATTTTGATTGCTGATGTTAACAATTGTGTTGTGTAAGCACTTGTGTGCTTCATTGCCTAATACACGTGAATGATAGCTGCACTCAGAAGCAGAATTAAAAGGATGAGCTATTAATTTAGTGGGGTTACAGGACAGCAAGAAATCTTCAGCTAATTCATTCTTCTGAAAACTTTTGAGGTTCTTGGATTCCCCTCCCAGGTAACTTTCCTGAATAATAACTTGATTAGGAAATGTAGAAGTCCAAACATGTCAGAAATATTTTTTGTATACTAATTTAAAATTGAATAAAAGACTAGATCTTTCATATTCTTCTGAACAAAAAGACTTTAACAAGAGCCACTGATGAGAGGTTGAGTGAATTTATTTTTTCAGTATTTATAGCAAATCCAAGATCTTCAGTTCAGGGTTTTGCCTAAAAAGAAGCCCACTGGACTTTCTAAATGTTATTATTCATTCATCCTAATGTTTTAAGGCATCCTCTCTATATTTTAGTAGCCTTTTTCATTTCTCTTAGTCACTTGTTAAATCATTTACACAGGCCTGTACTAATTGACCTTCTTCATCAATGACAGGAAAACAGCTGGTGTCAAAACACAGCTATGGTTGGCTGATATAAAACTACAGGAGCCTGATTCTCTATTACTATGAACCTCCTGTAGTCATTTATGTGAAGGCAGAGTGGACATAAAAAGCCATCTGATCAAAATGGCCAGAGGGTGCCCTTCCACCCACTTTACATTGGTAAAAATAATGGCATAAGGTACAGAGCCAGCAAGAATCGAGAAAGATGGAAAAGTTACAGCTTATGTTTTTTAATCAAATTTTGCTGTGCACAGATGTTGAACCACGTTCTACTTCTCATGCAACACTTACATGCTGCAGCTCCTAGAACTATTTGATCATAGCAAAGTGCATTTTCAATTTCATTATTATTATCTCTTACTATTTATTGTTAATATTGGAGCACTGCCAACATAGGTATTTTATAGCAGAGAGGGAGACATGATCCTACCCCCAAGGAGCTTAGTGCAAGTCAGACGCACTCAATGCAGTAAAAGCATAACTGATGCACTGTCTGAATGACTTTTAGACCTGAGGTAAAAATATCTTTTATTTTCTTTATCTCAATTATCTCTGCTAGTTATCATTGAAAGGCTTCCCAGAAGTGTCTTTTAAATAGAGAACTGAACTTTCTCATGATTTCAGGAAGTTCTTGCAATTTTACAGCTTTTAGGATTCAAATGTGCAGTAAACTCATCCGTAGTGAATTGTGTTCCTGACAAGAGTTATCCTAATTTTCATATGTAGTGGCCGAATTCACCACAGCTACATCCTCACAGGCTGTGATAACAAGCACTTGCTCCTGCTGATGATGAGAGTTTGGCCTACAGTTTCCAGTTAATATGTATTTTGATATATTTTGTTCTGGCTTTTTACTTATCTTTACTTATCTTAACTGTCATCTTTTTCTGCATAAGCTTCCTTCCTTTTTTTCTTCTCATTGTATTTGAGCTCGTTTTCTTTTTGCAAATCTTTTGCATTTTCTTACCAGCACATTTGCTTGCTAGCACACTCACCGTTAACTGAGTAGGCTTTATTTACTCAATGAAAACATTCAGAGTGCTTTGAATTGCTCTCCTACACTGAGGTCAATGAACACTTTTTACTCATCCACCTATTCTCTGCAATCTTGTACCAGAGGGCGAAGAGCCAGATCTCAAAATGGGGTTAGGTGCCTGAAAATGTAACTTATGTGGAATTTAGGTGCCTGTATCCAGGACTGCAATCTACACACACCCTGCTGCACTACTTTGGCACCTGAGCCTTCACCAGTAAAATTACCTGAGTATCTATAAAGTTTCCCACTCTGAGGCACTGACATCTTGAATGAGCTAAGCATTTCAGCACCAGTCTTTTGCCTAGGCCCACTCGTGATTTACAAAGTAGCTGGTCTTTTTGCCTAAGTCCACCAAAGGCTCTGTCTGGGTAGACATGCTCTGAAAACATGTAAGCATGCACCAGCAGCACTGGAATCAGCGCAAAGCACAGTAGCTATAGCTGTTTTCATTCAAGAATATGGCTAGTGTTCAGCACTGCCACACCAAAGTCCCTTTGTAGATCCAGGCTAAATCTACAACTTTTCCCTCTGTCAGTTCTGCTTCTGTAACAGACTTCTTTTGCATTTCGTGAAATTAAACCATCAGAAATCTGTCACTGTAAAGCAGCTGCTAAAAACCTAGAGAAATTGGCAATGCTTTGCCCTTAAAGATTCACTTTCTGCTTCTACTGGTGAAATGCAAACCCTTTGTCACTTAGAAGCGGCTTGGGTATCAGTTACTCTTTACTCAATACACATTTTTTCTGCAAATAAATGGAAGCTCTTGAATCATTTGGGAGCATTAACAGTTTAATCGGTCTTTATAGGGTTCCCTTTAAAAGCAATTTAACCACATACACCGAACAGATTGTGATGTCTGAGAAAAACAGAGGCATGTTCCTCTGTTAGACTAGAGGCAAAATTGTGCCTTGCTGCTCTCAGGAGTGCTGGCGGACAGGAGGTGCTGAGTTGCAGCAGCTGAGAAGTACTGCGAGGCATTTTAGCTGTGCAGGGTAGGGAGAGGCAGCAGGCCACATACAGCACTGGAGAGAACATGCTGCAAGGCACTTCTGGTATGTGATTGGGAATGGTGTGCACACCCCAGCACACAGGGTAGCTAAACCCTGCACAAATGGAGCTGGATCCTGACAGGAGCCCTAGCCCAGCTTGTCACATGCCAAGGCACTGTCAGGTGTACTAGCTGTTTCTATGTAATGATCCCCCATGGTAACTGGCCAGGTTAATGAAATGCAATGTAAGACACCTGTCAACTCCCCACCCAAGCTCATCACTCCCTTTAACTTATCTCTTGGATTATTGCTGCTTTTGCTACTCAGGTGCTGGCCCTGCTAACCTGGGTGGCACCAGTGCTGCTACTCTGGGCCCTATTCTTATTGGTGTGGGGCCCTGGGTACCAATGTACAGCTTTCACTTTTGGCCTTTTCTGGAAGACCTTCCATGGCTGCTCTCTGCAGAAGCTGCTGCCAATGGCTTCCAAGGGTCTGCAACAACACCCTCTGCTGGGAAGAGGCAGAAAAGGGCAACCACTGAGCCTACAACAGAGCAGTTAGGTGCTCAATTTTAATGGTCTAATATTCTTTGAACCACCATAGCTATACCACTGTGCTAACCCCAGATTTTTAAGGCAGATCACTGAAACACAAGACTGTCCTGGGAAACAGAAAGAGATCTGATTGTTTTACCTCACTGTACTTTCAGAGGTTACCTTGCATGGAGGTACTAAGAATAGCCCTACACACTCTCCTTAGGCAGCAGCCAGAATATAACCAGCCATATTCTAAATGTCTCCAAAACATAGGCCCTGATACATTTTTATTTGCAGAGGCATCGTGGTTATGTGATGCAGAATGTTCAGTGAAAGCTTTTGTTAGAGAAGATTTTCACTTTGTGCCTTTACTCATCCTTATTAACCACTGAGATATAAATAAAACATGGATTTTCACCATGCTGATGGCAAAAAGCTAATTCAGACAAAGTGAACCCAACTGAGCTGTGCTTAACAAACCGTGGTTCTACCTTCCCTCCACATGCACTCCAACTGCTATAGCATTTCCTTCAAAGTAAAGGTCTTTTCTTTCCAGGTACCCTCCTTGTTTTTGTCCCTGTTTGTAATCCCTTTTCTCATAGGCTGTCATTTTTGCTTATGACAAACATCAAGCAAAATACTTAACTGAGTGTCTCCCCCTCACCCCTGTCCCCACCTTTTTAGTGTCATAGTAGGATATCACCTAGACTGTATTCTTGGATTATTTCTTTAAAAAATGTTGATGACCACGAGCAAGACACAGCATATGACAGTCTAATTTTAAAGCCTTGAACCTATGACTAATTAAGCAGACACATAGATCCATTGATTTAACTGCCTCAGATATTAATTCTTGAAATGTTAATTTAAAAAATCTTGTGGAAATCTACCCTTACCTCAAGAAACCATCACTTCACATTGGAGTTCTTGCAACTTACTGTCCAGTTTTAATTAAATATTTAATCCTTGCAAAGGGACTTTAAATATGCAAAGAGATAGCTGAACATTAAGCAGATTATCCTCAGTTAATGTTTTGCAACCACATCTTCATTACTCACTGGATCTCTAGAAACTTGGTAAAAGTAAAAGCAATTCTCAGTTTCAACTTATAAAATAAATTTAAACATACCAACAATTAATTGAAACATATTATAAGATGATGAGGGAAAATATGAAAGACTGTTTTGTCCTCTTCAGTCAGCTCCAAGTCTCAAATAGTCAACATTAATATTGCTTCTGTACTTCTGCTGGTCTTTGATTTTTTTTCCTCTTCTATCTTCCTTTGCCTTGTTCTTCTCTTTCCCTTGATCTAAATTTCCCATCTTCCAAGTCTTGACCTGGTCTTTAAAAAGTTCCCCTTGAAGCTGTGGAATCACTTAGAGCAAGATTCTAATGCCAATCCATTCATTTCGCTGGGACTACTCAAAGAACAAGACACTCATGAATACAGGTGTGTTGGAACAGGCCCAAATCTAGCCTGTATATAACCAATCACATACGCACTCAGAAAAAACAGGAATAAACCCACTTCTACCACAGCTAAATTTGTCTCTCTAATGTCACATTCAACTGAATGTATAGTTTCCATCTATTTTATGAAACTTATCCTTCTAAACTGGTATAAGCAAATAGATACATAGTTTTGCCTCTATAAACAATGACCAGCTTTATATGCAAAGCTCTTTTTTTATATACTTTATTTATCAGTAGTCTGCTCTTCTTCCAGTCCCCTTCAGCTCTCAACAAAAGCTCCTCCCTGCTCAATGAAACCAAATGTTGCATGTCTTGTGACAGTGGAACAATGTCATCTTCACTGGACTAGACTCTGACATGAGGGTTTTAGTGTTTTTTTTCAGTTGGGACTACTAAAGGGCAGAAACAATGTTACTGATGCATCTGGTTTGGTTTTCACATACGTTGTATTTTCCTTCTGTCCAAAGACCTACAAATCAGAATTTCCTTACTGACTCTGAGGTCCCAGATATGGTACAGTATTATTTTTTGTGGCATTTTGTTGAATTTCAACTTGGATGAGCAGCAGTGATCAAGACGTTTCTGTCTTAGGGTTTTAACAAATGTAAATGTGCATTTACTATTTATTTGCATTTCAGTGTGTCATTTATTCATCACTTCCCCTCTCCCCCCTTTTTAAAATCTCAGTCTTGTTGCTACTGTGCTGTACATTTATCTCATTTTGTCTAAAAAAACAGATATATAGAGGAGCCTGTTCCATGGATCAAACATTATTCACTGCACTCTCACAAGTAAAGTAGTAGCCCTATCTCAAATATAGCATCTCTAATGGACTAAAATATGACAGTGCTAGCAGGAGATTGCTTTTGGCATTGAGCATACAGTAGCATTTTTAACAAGAGATACTGAGAAGAGGCGGGAAAGACACTGGACCGGTGATTCTCAACCAATATGCCTCAGCATCCCAGGGTGCCTTAAGAACCTTTTAGGGGTGCTGCAGGGTGCCATGCAATGTCAGCATTGTTACATGTGCAAACAAATTTCAACTGTGAGTCCTCAGTATCAAAAACATTATAATCTGTTGTAGACTTTCTGAGTTCTTTGCAACAAAAGAAGAATTGCTCTACTATTTTTTTATAGTAAAATAACACATGAAAATTAAGAGCTAGAATTTTTCAAGGGGGCTCTTGAGCATAAAAAGGTTGAGAACAATTGGACTAGACACATGGAAACTAGAGGCCATAAAAGGCACAGGAAATCAGCTGGGTGAAAACTGTAAAGGTGACACCCAACCCTATATGTTTGCCGTATGCGTGGTTTTGGGTTTTTTTTTTCTTTTTTTGGCCTTCCCCACACTGCTGATTAATCTTATAGGATGGCATGTGCCTGACCACATGTATGGATTTACATAAACACATCCAGGAGGACAGTATATGACACCAAGAACTCATGTTTATAAACACAGGGATGCCAGATTCCCTAAAATATATAGAAAGAATTTTGGGGCAGCAATAAACCAGTAAAAAAAGATTTGGTCTAACAAAAAACCGCCAGCAGTATCTACTTTTCTCTCAGCTGCTGAATATTGGCTTGGCTGAAAAGCCAGGCCTGCTTACCAGCATGTTCAAGAGAAAGTGCAGTGTTTCTGTGGAAGGCAGCTAGTAAATGGACAAATTGCTATACAGCATGGGCAGGTCTGTTAGAAGCAGCAAAGCTCCTCTTTTTCCCACATATTGGTTCCATAGGTGAACTTCTCTGTATAGCAGTTCATGTGGCCCCATCCCTTCCCTTGCTATGTCCCCATCATGGGCTGCCTTAGGAGAACACAAGAGGGATAACTCAGAAGGTGTCTTCTTTGAAAAGCCAGGTTTTCCCTGAATTCCCCTGTCAGAGTTCAAGATCCCTTTACTTTATCTCCCTTCCTCAAGTATACCCACAGACAGTTACGACCACCTGACTAAACCATGGTGCTCTTCTCATTGCTGTATTTGCCTTGAAGAAAAGGGGTAATAAAAGAGAGTTGAGCCCAGAGGGACTTATGCATGTGACAGGTTCCAAAAGGTGGAGGTGAAGTTTCCTACAAACTGAAACCTGCCTTGTGAGAGGTGGATTCCTGGATGACAGAGCTAATTATAGTATGGCCTGCCTAACTTATCAATATTTATCCAAAGAGATGTAGGGAGGACATAGTGAGACCCTATGGACAATCTGGTGTTCTTGCTGCATCCCACACCAGGATGTAAAATGAGGAAAAAAACCCACCCTTTTCCATAGGTCCCTTTAATATAAACTATTTAAAGGTTCAATTGCCAATAAATTACTATTATAATACAAATACTCTATGTTTCAGGTGCCTGGGAGATGCTCTCTGTCTCCAATACTTTAGAGAAGATCCATCACCATACGTCTCTGCATGTATTGAATTCATCGGGTGATTGGTGCAACATAGTTGGCAGGGAAGAGCCCAAGTTCACCACGCAGACGACCTTTCCACCAAGAGGGGTTGGAGCTGTCCAGGACTTCTACAATGTCTCCACTGCGGAAGCCAAGTTCATCATACTCCATTGCCTCAAAATCATACAGGGCACGGACCCACAGCGTTTGCTGAAGAGAAGGAGATAGGGACAGATCAACCACAAAGCTTACAAACATTCCCCCATGACACTCACCCCAGAGAGTAAGAAATTCAACAGCAGAAAATAAAACTATGCTATCAGTATGGAAATCAATGGAACAACCATCAGGATACCAGCAAAAAACCCCCCCCAAACCTGAATAAAAGGGACACTTAGGGCTGGGACTTGCATTAGCAGGAGTCCCTGGGATCCTTCTCAATATAGGGATAGTTCCTCCAAGCAGAACTGAAGGCTGGGATGGAGCATGTATCACAAGAACATCCTTTTCAGGTGCTCCAGTCACATCACATCACATCACATCACATCACATCACATCACATCACATCACATATAATACAAACGTGTGTGCCCCCCCCAACCCCCAGTGTGGGACCTCCATGCTGGTGGGTAAATAGGTTAACTCTCTATCTGTTTTCCTGAATGGAGCTCTGGTAGAGGACAGAGAAGGGCATGCTATACACACCACCTACCTGGGGTTGCTGCTGCAGTGGATCTGTATGTCTCCGGTGCACGGACGGTGCACTTACTTGCCCATGGTCTCTTAGAGCATCCTTCCTATCCAGGCTCCCTCCATACCTCTCCTAGAAAGTTAAAGAGCAAAAGAAGAGCCATAAATATACTCAGTCGTGTCATGGGGATGGAGGATTTCAGAGTTACCAGGTGTCACAGTTTCAGGATCCAGCCAGTGTACCCATTACTTACTTATACTTATCAGGGAGTGTTTTCCCCTGTGTTCACTGGATTCCAGGGCAATGCATCTAACAGGAGTGGCTTTCCCCGTGGGTGTCATTTTGGCTCAGAATCTAAAACTAGATAGGCTCCAGATACATTCCTTCTCTTCTCAGAGGTTGAAATCACTTCCCTAGATCAATCTGTATGAAAGATCCAGTCAACAGTCTACTCTCACAGCAGTCGTCCACATCCCCCTTTTTGCTGGCAAAGTCCCTATGCTGAGAGTAGCACAGGATCTGGCTATATTGGATCTGTACTGGCTAGGCACACGGTTATGCTGGGGAATATCCAGCTGCTTTTCTGTCTCTTGGTGCTGCTTCTCTCTGCAGAGGAAATGGAACAGGCCTTAGAAGCCACTGATCCAGTTAAAACAAGATCAGAGAAAGAAAAATATCAGATGAAAACCAGAGAAGTGGCACGAGAGTGCACTTAGTGTTACAGGCAGCACAGACAAGCCCAAGTAGGGAACACTTTCAGTTAGATGCAGCCAAGACCTACATGTTCAAACAACCCATTCCTTTTCTGATTTATCAAGTCTTTGGTGTCACATCTCACTTCAGGCCTATTTAGTCCATGACCCATTTTAATGGTAAAGGTGTGGCAGAGTTAGATCTTGTACTAGTCATGCTGGCCCAGGGTTCAGAAGCATTTCAGTGATGCAGTATTTGATCAGCTGTATCAGCTGGGAGTGGGGAGGAAGTGCAGCAGCTTTAGTTCTCTGTACATAGCTATTGGCCTCTATCTCTTCCTACTTGTCTTTGTCAGTACCTGACATTTCAAATGCCCATCTGGTCTTACCTGCAGTTTTGTCAGTCTAAAGGGTAGGCATGACCAGATCTCAGTTTGCATGTCTTGGCCTTCCTCTTGTCTATCCTTTTCCCCTGTTAGAAACAGTGTTCTTCTTGGATGAGGCCAATATTATTGCAGCATTTCCAACTGCAGTCAAGAGCCAATCCCTTCTCCCTCTAAAGCTGTTTCCTATCCAAATCAATCAGGATGGGCTGCATTATTCATTTTCTCCCCAAAATCCTGAGATAAGAGTATTTTTTATATGCACATAGAAAATCTGAAGAGGAAAGGACCCCATCACTGAAGAGGGAATCAAGGATTCACTTCAGGAAAAGGGAGTCTGGGGCAGCACTGAAGGAAATCAAATTCTCTCAGTGTTAACAAACTCATGTCCCATCCTCAACATGCACTGTGATGCTGAATGCTATTAGCACCATCAAGCAAACAAAACTGGCTGCAGGGTTTGATTTGTCTTAGAGAACTGAGAGGAAATCCTAGGCATGGGGGTGGATGTGTGAGGGATATGTGTGTTTGTGAGTGTGTGCACATGTGCATGCCTGCATGCATGCATGTGTGTGTACACATGGTGTTATTTTGCACCTGTTTAAGATGATTTTTGGTCTTGATCCAAGCTCTACTGGACCATAACATTTCCACATATTTCACCATTTGGTTCCCAGCTCTCCAGTGAGAATGGGTATTGCTGAGTTATGACTTCTGCAGGTATGCTCCATGAGAGCTGATGCTCCCAGGACAATAACAAAGTCACTTATTTATCTCAGGCCACAAGATGTCACCAGGCTGGCATCTCACATTGTTGCTACATCACCCTCAGAGACATAACTTTCTGTTTCATGAAAAGGAGTCAGGGTAAACCAATCACACAGGTAGATAACTGGCAACCCAGCTCCTAGTAAGCAGAGAGTAATGTGTTCTGGAGCCTGGGTTCAGCTCAACCTTCCCCACTTTCCCAGTACTACCTGTTGCTGTTGCTGCTGCATCATGATTGAGGAGTGATCTAAATATCTCTTAGACACTGATGCTCGGACATCTGCAGATGCTCCACTCAGACGTAACCCTTCTGGTGCTCCCCGTTCCAGGCTTCCACCATGCCTCTCCTGAAGACATATTAATAAGAAAGGTAAGACCAAGTGTAGTACCTTTTTGCTAGTACCCTTATAGTCAGTACCCCAAACTATTTGCTCCCCTGATCTTACTCTCCCACTATTCCTCCAAGCCCTAAAGTCTGTGTAAAAGAGAATTCCTGCCCCAGTGAAAAAAGAACAAATTTACAACCCTGTATTTTGCATCTTCATCACAGTCACTTTCCTTCATTCAGTGCATGTAAGAATTCAGGGCCTCAGGCCCATTTGAAAATACATGAGTGGGTTTTACCTTGCATCCATTCTACTCTGAATAGACAGGATGAGCCAATTCCCAGCGCTTCCTCTAAAAATAACCAAGGGTACTTGAAGCCCATCTCTCCCTTCTCTGAGTCCTTTATTTTCCCTGTAAATAAGGGTAGGTGTGTAGCCTCATGTGCTTGGCTATCTGACTGGACCCACACTTAGGGATATACTTTCAAGTCCTCAACATGCCCAACAAGCCAGATTTTCAAAAAGGTTTGGCATCTAGCATCCCATAGTGACAGTCCTCAGCAGGTGTTTTAGATGTCCCTGGATCAAAACCCTCCTATGCACTCAACATGCACTCAGTGGGTTGAGTTCTTTTGAAAATCTGAGCATGTGTTAAAACATCTAAATGAGAGATAAGCTCTCTTGAAAACTCTGGTCTCAGGCTTCAAGCATCTCTGCCTCTGGATTTATGTATCATCATCATCATCATCATAGCTGTTTACTATTGCAGCACTTAGGAGCAAGACCCAATATGTCAGGTGCTGTATGAGCCTTGACATGCGCATCATCACAGCAACTAAGTGAAGTATAGGCCCCACCAACAGTCTTCCCTCCTCCGCCCAATTTTTTAATTTATCTGTTTACATCTTGGAGAAAATGTTATCCCCTCTCTCCTTTTCTTCTGCTCTCTGGAGGCCTTAGCTAATTGTTTTACAGATAAAGCATCCTCGTCTATACACACTTTCTTTCTCCTCCTCCAGACTGTGCTCTGCTATTAGCTGTAGCCCTGGAAATGCACTGGAAAAAGCAGAGAAGTGGTCTTGAAGGGGTCAACAAATTGATACCCCTTTATCAGATTGAAAAGTATATCCTTTCTGTTTTTTGAAGCCCAAAAGAATACCCACTATGTAGCTTATAAAACTTTACTGCCACAGACAGCAAGTCACATATTTTCTGCCTTGTCTCTACCCTGCTCATCCTGGTGATTTAACACCAGAATCTGTTTTCTAGTTAAGCACAGATTCAGGTACTGCAGCTACCACATGTTCCCTCTCTCTCAGCACTGCATTTGCAATGGCTGGCAGCTTCTGCTCTGTCATAGCTTTATTCTCCAGGCTGTGAATCAAACAGGTATTCAATGGACAAGGATTTCTCTGTTTCACCAAACGTTTTTACTGTATCTTCCTCACTAATCAGACTCAGAACTTCTGAATTCTCCTAGCAGGTACCATTCTGCCCCTTTTGCCACTTCTCCTACATTCTGATTCCTGTACCTCTATACCTCCCTGCTTTGTGTTGTAAATAAGGGATCAGTGATTCCTTGGTGTGAATTTTCAGCTACAGATGCACACAGTTTATATTCAAGGAGAGAAAGAAACTAAATTAATAGTCTTCTTTTCCCAAACTTGCCAGTAGACTAAGTATTCCCCCTCTCTTTTTCTATTTCTCAGCAGTTTTCCTCAAACCTATTTCACAACTCCTGCTTTGGAAAACAAGTCCTGCCTTCTCCTGTAACTATGCCAATGCACCTCAGTCCTCCCCTACAGCACTTCCTGCTATTCCAGCCCTGGGGCCCCCACATGGCTCTACCAAAGCCCCTCAAATCCTGATTTGCTACATACCCTTTGCTGTCCTAAAAGGAGACAGAAAATTATTCTCAGTTACAAAATGTTTTTATGAAGCAATCAACAGGGCTGAGAGGCCCACCACCCTAGTGAGCTCGCTGAGAGTCTAAGGAAGGTTTTCCAAAACAACATTCTAGGGCTAGATTCCTTTTCGCATAGGATCCTATACGGATTGTTTTGGAAGTCCCAGGGATACCTTCTCTTCTCGGCTATCATCCCTCAGGAAGATCTGCTTCTGTCTGGAGATGGAGTTGGTCTTGTAGTACTCCACCAACTTGTTTAGAGATTGGAATTTCTCTGTCCACAAGTAGTAGTTGTTCTTTGCATCCCTCATCACTTTGAAGTGCTGAACATCATCTTCATGCCTGGGAGCAATGGGAATAAAAATATCAGATGCCTGCAACTTTGCCTTCCTCAAAACCCTTTTATGCAGAAGGATCTCAAGGCCCCTTGTGGGTTCTGGGCTCAAATTCAGACTTCCAGAAAGTGACATACGTGGAGATAAACCTGCATGCGCTGAATCTGAATGTGGCCTTGTAAAGGAATCAGTCAGCTAACTACAAAAATACAACATCAACAAGGGTCATGAAAAATGGTGGAATCATTACAGAACATAGGCAATCAGACCTTTATTTTGAAATAAGCATTAAGGGATTTTTTAGGACAATAGAAGTTTAAGACCTGTGTGCTACACTTCATGTGAAAGTCAGTAAGGCAATGGCACAGTGTTCATTAACAGCTGCATTTATATTGTATGTATGGGAAGAGTGCAAGCTATCCTTTGGTGAGGGTTAGTCTCAGGTTTACTTAGGAGAGGGTGGTTTTGGTTTAAAAAGGGGCACAAAGTAAGAACAAGAAGCCCAGAGGACTGGTAAATGCGTCTTGGATTTCTTAAGCAATGTTCATACAACAATGTAATATGTTATGTGCTCAGTATTTTACGAACAAAAATGTTAAGCTGTTGGCTCCAATGCAATAGCAACAAAAAACCATTCCTCTCTGACAGCTGCTCAGTGATCTATGGAAATTATGTTAATGGTAGAAATCATCTCCTAATTAATATTATGGGGTTCAGCAATCTCAGTCATTCTGCAAAGCAAACACCTGGAAGGCACATGTTCTGTATTGGAGAAGCTGTCCCAAAGATGCTCTCCCTTTTGCTGCATCAAGCAAAAGGAGGAGGACAGCTGGTGGTACAGCTGTGGCACTGGGGACGTGTTGTGTCACTCTGAAGGAGGAAGAAACAACTGGGAGGCAGATGCCTCATTTATTCCTATTTGACTACAAAGTAGATCTTCCAGTGACCAGTGACTGGCAGCACACAAAGTTCCCAAAAGGCAGTGCCATGTTAGGGTTCCTGTCAAGAAGCAGATTGAGGATTGCATTGGCCAGAAAAAGATGGAAAGAAATTGCAAGTAGCAGGTACCTGACAGAGATAGAGAAGTCACCCTGGGAGTTCTGGCTTGCTCGGATGATGAAGGAGCCAATTTCTTTGTTTATGAGTAGGTTCTCTGCCTCATGGCGGGATATCCTCCCATTAAACCAGCTGTCAAATGGAACAGATCACATGAACATGAATAAGAAAGGTGAATTAGAGAAAAAAAAAGAGGTAAGAGAAAGAGAATGAGTGAGCAGGGGCAGGGGAAGGAGTGAAGTAAGGGTTGAGAGCACATATGTAAAAAATATGGCCTGCTTTGCTCCTGGAGGGGCTGTGAGTTTGGGAACAGGGCTCACTGCCAAAATCTGGCATAGATATCTCCATTGGGAATATGTGGGTGAAAGCGATCCATGCATTAATCTTCATGGATCAGGAACCAACAGCAATTGACACTACAGGCTGCTGGCCCTGATGCCAGAGGCGGATCCAGATCCAACTGGTGAGGCTTCTTGTAGTCCAGATCCAGTGCAACAGGAGCCCTCCAGTCCAGATCCAGCCCAGGGGGCCAAGAGAGCTTGCTGCTCCTGGTCTATATGATGCCACATGAACATCTCTACTAACAGGGCATGTCTGGAAGGCATAGTTTATAGGAGGGGAAAGCTGCTCTTCATGAAAAGCAAATAACTTCCTTTTGTTATCTACTGATAATGTCCCGCCCGAACTTCTTAAAAAACATGGATTCCTTGCTGCTCTAAAAAGGAAAAGGAAATAAAACTGGAAATGTTTCATTTCAGCTATTGTACGGGGGGTGGGGGGAAGAGGAAGAGAGAAAGAGAGAGAGAGAGCTCATGAGAATGTAAGCACGCACGTGTGCAGGGGAGGGAGGGAAATAGAAAGTGGCAGAAGACATAATTAGTATGTGATTCAAGTGCACTATGTGTGTGAGGAAGGCATTGCTGGTATAACTACCTGAAGCACAATCACCTCAGTCAACAGCTAGCAGTGCACATGAAGGACTGAAGAAGAGAACTCATCCCACTTGAACTGAATGAACACAAGCCTGTATTTGTAGAACTAAAAGTCCCTCAGTTCAGGCAGCAGGTGGAATTCATACACAAAAGGTCTGCTAAGGTCCATCCAACAGGGGGCAGTCACACATCAGCATTCACAGATAGTACAATCCCACTAGTACCTACAGCCTTTCTAACACCTACCCCAGGGTAATAATATGCAAAAAAAAAAGGTATTGGTTGGCAAATATACTTGGTATAGTAGGAAAAAGCCCCTGCATGCTTTTTTTCTGAAATACTGCAGCACTTTCAAAGCAGGAGGCATAAGCGGCTATAGCTTCATGGAAAATTTCTGCCAATCAAAAGAAAAGGTTTGCAAGTGCACTGTACAATAGCATTGTCGGGTTAGATAGCACAATAGTTTATATGCATCTAAATTTGCAGAATCCTCCATAAAACTGCAATCCTATTTGTCCTGCCCCTATTGAACTTGCTGCAGCATCACGGTGGGGAGCAATATGGGAAAGCCATGTCTCTGACTGCTCCATGTCCAGCTGCAAAACCAAGGCACTTCAAAGAAGGAGGCAGAGTTGAGGGCCTATGGGCTACATGTCTGTCATCTCTGACAACCCATGGACACCATTTCTCATGTAACATCATTCTGACCTCTAGTGTATCAAAGGAAACAGATATGCAGACAGGGGGCTTTGATTCATAAGGTCTACTAGGAGGGTTTTTACTTGTTCTGAGAGAGAAAAATCCCCTATTCTTTTTTTTCCACTTGGTTTTTTGTCACTAAGACTTCATATTATGGCAATTCCCCTTCTGTCAAAGGGAGAGCTAGAAGCAGCTCCTGAAACATCCCTCTGAGTAGTAATAACAAAGGAGTCAATTGAGAGTGATATAGAAATTTGGGGGCCATCCAAGATTGCACTAGCAAGGGGGCTACAGGATAGGAATACGGTGAACTGGCAAAGCTGTGTGTGGAGCTTTGCCAGGGTCCCTTCCTATTCCAAACTGTACAATGCAATCAGTGCTTTCTCCAGCATGCATGAACACACACTACAATTTTCTGAGAAGCCAAAGGGAAACACACATGCTCCCTGTCGTACTTACACAGGAATTTGAAAATTGATGAAATTCTTGGGGACGTATCCCTCTTGACTTCTCAGCTCAGCCTTGTACCACTCTTCCTGGGAGCTTAAAATCTATATCAGACAAAAAGAATAAATAAACCTCCTTGAGAAAGGCAAAGTAGCTAGATAGAGAAGTCACTGAAAAAAGGAAGAACATTTGGAATTCTGTGGAAAGATAAAAGCAGACTGCATCAGGTTTGCAGGTGCCGAGAACTTTGGGATCCCAAACTCATGACTCCTCGCACTTGCAACAGGGCTGGTAGCCAAAGGCTAGCTGAGTTGAAATAAAGCTATGAGGAAGGTAGAGTGGAATTAGAGATACTGCTTGTTAGTTTTATCCCTATTCTGGCAGGCTTTGCTGGATGGCTGAGGGATGCGGGCTGCACATCTCTAATGCCTCTGAGATGGAGTCCTGCTCTGAAGGACTTAGAGTGGGTTTAAGCAGTTCTTTGTGCTGTTTAATGGTTTGCAGTGGAGTGTTTCAATTTAGCAAAAGATGAAAAATCTCAAAACAATACTGTGACTTAAGTGTATGTGTACATGTACATGTTACTGTCACTGCATGTAATAAAATCAGTGGGCTGAGTTCCTAGTTGTGCTGAGCCTGCCCTAAGGCAAATACAGAGGAGAAGGCAAAGGTGATTCAAAGCCATTTTTTTTGTTTCCCTAGATCCTGGGGATACAGCGAGGCAGCCTACACTGCAAATTGGAGCTGCCTCCATACTGCTTTACTGATGCCAGCTGGAACAGCCCCCAGGAACTGTCCTGCTAAACAAGGATTGCCGGAGTGCGCTGCACTCTGGCTCAACCCCATCATGGTCCTGATGCAGCCTGAAGCTGGTGGGGAGGGAACAGGTGGCAAGTACCTAGCAGTAGCTGTCAGCTGTCATGATTTTCCTGCCAGTGTTGCAGTTTTTGGGCTTCCTTTTAAAATTCCAGTTCCCGTAATACAGGAGAATCTCACTTTTCAGTTTATAAAAAAGCACCTGTCTCTTCTGATTGTGAAAAAAAGCTTGAAGCCATAAGCCCTGAAGGCTCAGAAAACAGAAGACAACAACCCCCCTTCCCCCCGCCCATATTTATTTATGTATTGATGTAAATCTCTTGATTTTTAAGCCAATCTCATTAATGGGAGGAAGGGGGTAACTCACACTCTTTGATTGCTCAGCATTGACAAGAATGAGTTATTATTTCTGGAACTGATTCTGTATTGATATACTCTTCATGTAGTCCTTTCACTTGTGCAAAAGGAGACTGGGTGGGGAAGGGCTGAGGATTTCCCTGCTGTTATGCTAGTTGATGCCCCTCTCCTCCTCCTCCCCCACATGACAGAAGGCAACAGTGTCTCTCTTCTTCCCAGTAGACCACATGGGATACAACTTGTTTCCTTTCTGGCGCTCAGTTCTAAAATAGGTGCAACTATGGCAGTAAGCCCTTCTCTCCTGCCTGGAGCCTGCTCTGCTAGCAGCAAGGTTTCTGGAACAAGCCACCTGCAAGGTCTTGGTATGCAGAAGATGGGCCCTCTCAGTGTCATTCTCTCAGAGAATGGGGTTGGGGTGTGGATTTCCTCCTGTCTGTGCTGGTTCAGGGCCTCATGTTTCCTGTTTGTTTAATCTCCACATCAATACTGTTTGCCTTATCTGCTTCACAAATCAGATAAGATAAACCCCAGCAGGCTGTGTAGGCAGCAAAAGGGGGGCAGCTAGGGGCTTTGCATACACGTGTGCGCACATGCACATGTGTTTGTGAGAAAGAGACAGAAAGGGAAGGAGATATCCACTTTGGTTTATTTACTGATGTGTCTTGGCTTTTAGGGAGTTATTTCAGTCACATCTGGGAGGAAGGGTACAATGTCTGCATGTGTCTGGCTTTCTGCCTGCATATTCTCAGTGAAAATAAGCAACAGCCATAACAGCCAGTGGTTTTCTGGCATTTTTATTCAGCAGATCCCAAGGGGCTTTACAAAAGAGGCTGCTATTATTTTCAGCTTCAGGTGGAGAAAACCAAGGCACAGAGACATGATTTGCTTAGGGTTACCCAGTAGGCCAGTGGCAAGGGCAAGAATAGAATTCAGGTTTCCTGACCAAATAGAGATAATACCTTTAACCCAGGGTGCCAAGGTACAGGCAACTGGGACATAAAGACCAAGTTTGGGCTGAGAAAGCATCAGAAGCACTTTAGAGGTCAAATTTTCAAAATCCTGTAGTGGAGGGTTAAAGGATATATCCTATCTCTCTTAATAGTTGACCTTCTGGATGGAGCCAACTTTCTCATAAGCCTCAAGAAACTATGGGAAAGTAAAATGAAAAGTGGTGGTTTTGACAGGGGCAAAACTGAGAGGGGAGCCTAGCATTGGATCAGCAAAGGGTGCTGCAGGGCAAGCTCAAGATGCCCTGCAAAGGTTGAGTAGTTGGATCTCATTCCTCAACAATCTCCCTTTTGGCCAATTAAGGGGGGGACTTGGTGAGTTTTAAAGGGAGTCACGTTTAGTTGTCTTCAGCTGGAGTGGAATGAGTATGGAACAGGGTACTGTGGGGTGAAAAGCCCATGG